GTCTCTCTCTGCCCCAAGCAGAAACCAGCTCTGTAGAAATGCAGATTTGATAATCCTTTCAAAAAGACTGGAGCCAGGAAGCTTGGAGCTGATGGGATTAGAAAAAGACCCCTAGAACCAGTAACCCCTCACCCCAAAATCCAACACAGGACACAGCCATCAGCCACAGCACCAGGGAAGCAGGACATGACCGTTAGGACGTAATAGGATTAACCCACCACCATCAGGATACCAAAAGGGCACCACTGAACCTCAGGTCAAAGTTCATGCCACAGGAACAAGAACAAGTCCAAACACAAAAGCCCAAGAAGGTATAAAAACCCACCACTCCCAGCAACATGTGGTCAGCTGCCCCAGAGCCACCTGCTGTTGTGCTTCTGCTCTTCAATAAACAAGAACCTTCTTTCAAAGGCAGCCTCCACTTTATTTATTCCCAGCTTGGACAGGACCCTGAAAGAAGATTTTTCTTTCAACAATGCCTAAGGCAGGACTACAACTCAGCGTCTCCTAGTGATTGGCCCAAAGTATCCAGCCTGCTTTCGTGCCTAAGGTGGGACTAGAACTCCTGATCTCCTGCTTTCTAGCCTGATGCCTTATGGCTCTCTTATGCTGTCTCAGCTCTCTTTTGTAAGAAAGATGGTGAAAGGATGGGTTATACTGGGTTGGATTGTATGACCTCTGAGGCTAAGATGACCCTTCGCCTTGTTACTCAAAGCACACTTGCCATTTTTTTTCCTGCCACACTCACTGATCTGAGCACACTGTTAACTAACCTAACAGCTTTTCCCTTCCTAAACTTCCAGGCTTCTTTTGCTCACTGCATTCAATTTATCACCAGGCGCATCAGGCGCAGGCAGATCCCAGCTGTTTACTAGCCACTCGCAATGGGCGTCTTTCACAATTCCTTCTGATTAATGAGGCTGTTATGGAGCTCACGGCTATGAACTGGCCTGGTTGGGTACATCATGTTTCCCCATTTAGCCTTACAAAGTTAATTCTTTAGAAATTGGGTTATCGCTCTCTCTCTCTCTCTCTCTCTCTCATTCCCTCTCATTCTCTCTCTCTCTCGTCCATCTATGTCTCTCTCTCTCTCACCCGTTTATCTATCTATTGTCATGTGTCTGAGTAACGAAACACTTAAAAGGACTTTCAGGCATTTTTTCTCCTAAAAGCATTTATTAAGATTACAATACGTCAGCACAGCATGGAGGAATGCTTAGATCTGCTTCTCTTCCGTTACGCATAACATTCCAAACATTTCCACTCCCTTATTGTAGGGTCATGGTTCACATCTTCCAATCAACTTGGAAGATGTGATTTACTTCCAGTTTCTTTCTCCCGGGCTATCCTTATGCTCCTCCCTCTTTCTTGGTTGCTGGTTTAACTATATAAATACCAGACAGTTCTGCACATTGTCAAAGCAAGAATATACAGTATTTGCAGCATTGACATCTATCTTTCTATCTCTATTTCTCTATCATATATCATATCTATCTATCTATCTATCTATCTATCTATCTATCTATCTATCTATCTATTTACCAACTCTATCTATCTATATCTCTATCTATCTCTCTATCTCTCTATCTCCATCCATCTATAACTACCGTATCTATCTATCTATCTATCTATCTATCTATCTATCTATCTATCTATCTATCTATCTATCTGTCTGTCTGTCTGTCTGTCTGTCTGTCTGTCTGTCTGTCTGTCTGTCTGTCTATCTATCTATATATTTACCAACTCTATCTATCTATATCTCTATCTATCTCTCTATCTCTCTATCTCCATCTATCTATAACTACCGTATCTATCTATCTATCTATCTATCTATCTATCTATCTATCTATCTATCTATCTATCTATCTATCTATCTATCTATCTATCTATCTATCTATCTATCTATCTATCTACCTATCTCTATCACATTTTGTTCACATAGCAGCATTCCCGCGACAATATCTGTAATTTGCAATAGCACTGAGAACGTAACCTACGACCTTTTTTCACGCTTATGAGCATTGCAGCCTTCCTATGGTCACGTGATCAAAATACAGATGCTTGGCAACAACAACAACAACAATAATAATAATACTCTCTTCTTTGTCCTTCTTATCCATCCCATTATCCTGTGACTATAGGATGGGGATAAACATTAAAATAGCAGAAACTGAGTTAACCAGAAAAATAGGATTCTTGCAGATTTTCTTAAGATTTTGCTGGCAAAATAATAATAATAATAATAATAATAATAATAATAATAATAATAATAATAATAATAATAATTATTGAAGAAAGAGACCGAGGAACTAATTCTGGCTGCACAAGTCCAAGTCTTAAGAACAAATGCATACAAAGTCAAAATTGAGAGGACAGCAACAGACAGTAACTGCCGCCTATGCAAAGTTGCTGAAGAAACAGGGGACCACCTGGTAAGCTGCTGCAAGAAGATCGAACAGACTGACTACAAGCAATGGCATGACAAAGTAGCAACAATGGTGCACTGGAAGATCTGCAAGAAATATCATTTGCCTGTAAGCAAAAACTGGTGGGATCATAAAATAGAGAAAGTCATAGAAAATGATAAAGTTAAGCTGCTCTGGGACTTCAGAATTCAAACAGACAAGCACCTGCAACATACCCCGGATTTAACAATTGTCGATAAGAAAGACAAAAAAGTCTGGATAGTGGACGTGGCAGAGCCTGGAGACAGCAGAATAGACGAGAAAGAACTGGAGAAGATAACAAAATACAAAGACCTACAAATAGAAATAGAAAGACTGTGGCAAAGGCAAGCAAGGGTAGTACCAATAGTAATAGGCGCCTTGGGTCCAACCCCAAAACAACTGGAGCACCACTTGAGCACCATCATCGGCATTCACAAATTCGCCATTAGTCAATTGCAAAAGGCGGCCTTACTAGGAACTGCTTCCATCCTGCGACGATATCTGTAATACCATCAAACATCCACATCTGCCTATCCCAGGTCCTGGGTAAGGACTCGATAGGTAGACAAAATGCCAAATCCAGTCTGAACATCTGGCTGACTGTGCGATGATTAATAATAATAATAATAATAATAATAATAATAATAATAATAATAATAATAATAATAATAATAA